TATAGCTGAGTGGGCTGCTAAGGTTTTAGGTGGAAACCCTATTCTCTGCTTAGGCCTTAAGCAACCCATGAAACCTTCTAGAAGGTCCCCTTGGACGGAATCCTTATGGGCTTCCCATAGATTTCGTCCAACCCCTTCTATTAGGAGTCCATAGCCCAACTTGCAACTATCTGATAATTACAATATCGGTCCCTTTTATTTAATCAGTCTCTTTTGACCACCAAAATTAATTCCAAACTAATTTTTGATCAATACTAGGGGACGAAGCGTAGAGGTCACTTTAGCTGTTGTACCGGAGTGGTTCATCGTCAAAAGAACAACAATGGCTTGTAGCATTTCCTATTGATTTGTCTAGGGGATGGGATGTAAAAGAAGGCTTTATCGTCTAAAGGCAGGGGTGAGCTTTCTCACTATACCTCGCTCTTCTTTTATCCCGCCTGCTTTCTTATCCCTGTTCCGTAAATTTCGTACGTAGACAGTTAGTTGCTCTGACTAGTTTTTTAGTGCAAAAAAGGACCAACGACGATCCTATCCTAAAGGAGAAGAAGGAGTAGGAGCAGAGCGGAGAATCTTTTTGATTCCAGCCGAGAAGACTAGTAAAAGGAAGGATCAAGAATGTTATATATTTCAGGAGCTAGATCAGTTGCCGATGAACAAGTCAGAATTGCCTCAACAAAATAGATGGAATTGGGCCTAAAAAGCCATTCTGGTTCGTTATCGATTAGGTATCAGTGGGAACATAAAGATAAAAGAATTAACTAAGTATCAGATCGACCAAATTGAACAAATGATAGGTCAAGATCAGTTGTTCAGTGGGAATTGAAGAGGGGAGAACGAGCAGACATCGAACGATTAATTTCTATTTCTTGTTATCGTGGAATTCGTCATCAAGATGGATCACCCTTACGCGGTCAACGAACTCATACTAATGCTAGGACTTGTCGCAAGCAAATTCGGAAATGAAAGAAGTCTACCGAAAGCCTTGGTACTTGTCTGATCAATCACACTGTTTAATAGTTCACTTCAATTTTGATTGGGGGATTTCACCGGTTACTAATCCAGTATCGGTATAGTAGGCCTCCTTGGCCACTCCACTAGTGGCTCGGCTTCGTCCTAGAAGCTACTGCTTCCGCATCTCTAGGCTTCGCTATCGCTCATGACTGGTATATGGATCTCTCTATGTAGTGGTCGGCCTTCTAGAAGCTTCGCCAGAAGCGACTAGTCGCTTCCCGAATGCCCCTTTCCTTGCCGCCAAACCACTAGGAGAGTCAGCAAGCTAGCTTGCTCGCATTCTAGAAACGGTAGCTTCCGTGCCCTTCCTGCCTACTGAAATGGATGTGAATGATCGTGACCGCTCTTATGTTGACCTTTCTCTATATTACCTTATTTTTTAATTCACTTGAAAGCCCCTTTTCTGGTAGACCTGGGCATGTTCCATGGCGCGAAGTCTCTTCTCATCTAA